CTTGGGGGGGGGGGGGGGTTAGGGGGAGGGACTGTCAAATAATCTGTGATCACAAATAGAGGCAATCCCATGAAAAAAACATTTGTCAAATGTCTAACACCAAACAGTTTTTAGGCAAACAGAAAAAGGTTACAATCATTGGTCTATTCATGTAACAATATGCATATGGTATTATTTTGTGGCAGAGATTCGTTTAGACAATATTATAGCCAGTGGCGTAACTAGAGCGTTAATTGGGGGGGGGGGGGATATTCATATATTCATGTTCTGCCTGACTAATTTCTTTTGAAATGAACTTAAAAACAAACAAATTCAAAAGAAATTCGTCGGGCAGAACACGAATATATGAATACCCCCCCCCCCCCACCCCCAATTAACGCTCTAGTTATGCCTCTGATTATAGCATTTTTAGTATTAACAATTTTACCTTATATTAAAGGTAGTCTACCATCGGGCAAGAAAAGAAAACGAGAATACAACTGGCTCCAGAATATTGATTATGATCCACGATCTGAACATGCATATATGCATTTCTTGCACTTTTTTCATGTTTTAATCCCCAGTCTCTAGGGTTTGGGGGATTTTCTGGCATGGTTTTGGAGTTGAAAATTGGAAGTGGATCAGAAACAATGCTGTTAGCAACAGCTGTTACTAAAGTGACATTATTTATTTATTTATTAACCTTGCCGGCATAAAATTACACAGAGTGGCCGGGACACCGCAACAGCTTATTGCCAATACTGCGGGCCCACATTGCTCTTCTCAAGTGTTGTTTGGCGTGTCACAATACTTTTACACTTGGATGCACTAATAAACCCTTTCTTGGCGATGAACCATGATTTGCACTTCCTTTGGTCCACTGTTTCTTTGTCAATTTTTCCAATTTCTTCATTGGTGAACTTAAAAAGCTTAGAAAATTATCTGGGGTAAGCATTGTGGTTTGTTTCACAAATTGCTCCAATTTCTCTTTCATTATGCCACAATTTCTTTCCAAAACCTCAGGTTCTTTTTTGAAGCCATTGGATCCTGCAGTAGTTAGGTAGTGCTTTTTCAATAGAGATAATATAACAGGTGGAGGAGAAACCTTGACATTCAAGTTGTTTGTGAAAGTCTTCATTGCTTTAAATGAATGAACTCTTCGGTGTTTCGTGGATCATAATCAATATTCTGGAGCCAGTTGTATTCTTGTTTTCTTTTCTTGCCCGATGGTAGAATACTTTTAATATAAAGTAAAATTGTTAATACTAAAAATGATATAATATTGTCTACACGAATCTCTGCCACAAAATAATACCATATGCATATGGTTGCATGAATAGACCAATGATTGTACCCTTTTTGTGTTTGCCTAAAAACTGTTTGGTGTTAGACATTTGACAAATGTTTTTTCATGGGATTGCCTCTATTTGTGATCACAAATTATTTGACAGTCCCCCCCCCCCCCAAAGCCGCAAAAACTAGGGGGTAAGGGCTTAGAATACAAATTCAACCAAGTAGAAATCACAACTTTATTACCATCGAAATGTACGTACCTTTTAAAATCTCTTGTTACGCTGTGGTTTCCTTACCCACTTACAAGGACCGCTTGTCACACTTTTGTCTCCTGTACTGTTTAGTAATTAAAATCATCTAGCGAATACAATGCGGCTGAAATATGTTTGCACCCGCCGTCTCTGCCACCTTTACATTTGCAAAATGCTTCTATAATGCTCCCTTTGTTTGGCCCTTTGCCTTCCAGTATAAACCGTAGGTCCGCAGAGTTGGCAGAACTTTTCCGACATATACATGCAAACCAGAGTCTAACAAAGTTGCTTTCTCCAATGATTTAACATACCCATCTTCGAAAAGTCTGTAATCTTCGTACGATTTATATGCCGCAAGTCCTTGCTTATCGTATTCAGTAGCGTGGTATATCAAATGATTGAAGATGTCGTATAAAGTATAAACCGAAAGGCGGCGAGTCAATGAAGTTGTTTTAGGTTTTTATTACGAAGGGATCCGCGATTTGCATATCATGAATAAATAAACGTTGACGTACATTTTTTTCATTGTTATCTGTTTCATAGTTTGGGTCAAGTTTTTCAAAGGCAGCAGCAATAGTAACTAAAGCTGGTTTCAAATAGCCATTCACAGTAACTCCTCGTTCTTTGTCTTTGAGATAATTTTTAATGACGCCACATTCATATTTCTAAACTTGTTAATATATTCCTCAGACATGCTGAGATTTGGTTTCATACAAAAGAACAACAATAAACGTACTAAACGCTTTGGAAAATCCCGAAACAATGACTTCTTATACAGTGTTTTATAAATTACAATTTACGCTCTTGTCCGCAATGTTTACATTTCGTACCACGTGACAGCCGTGAAAAGTGCACGTGTTTCCAGGGTTAATGTCGCAAATTTACTATCAATGGAATTCCAGATTAAATTACCACAGTAGCGCAGATTAAACCGACCATAATCTGTCCGAGTTTTTGGAATATATAAAAAAAAATTGTAGAAGATCTAGTGTTATAATTATGTACTTCGGAAACATTTTGAAGGAAATTATGAAAGACAGCGGGTAAATTACCCACGTGGAAGTCAAACATGAATAGAGCATTCTAATCCCCGAGCCGGCGGCGCGAAGCGCCGTGCGAGGGTACTAATTCCCCCCGGCTATTTACCCCCCGGGGAAACGAAAGCATTAGCGAAGTCTAAAGTTCATCAATGAGCGCGGGCGTCGGTCACCAACGATGGGTGGTCATCCTCACTGATCTCAAAAATATGGCGGACTCTCATGAATAACGGACACTGATTGGTCCAATTTAAAGTTTGCATTATAACGACTGCATGACGACAGCGAAATAGCAAACATTTCTTGATTTGATGATTGATTCAGTGCTTCCATTTTCAAGGAAATTTCCTTTTCTAAAGAAATTCTAGTGTCGAAAAGGAAAATCTAAGGAAGAGAAAAAATCTAAGGAAATCTAAGGATTTTTTCCCAACAACTTAAATATTCATCCAAGTGCATTAGTGCAGAAGAATGTTTCGCTATTTCTTGAATTTTTGAGTGAATTATCAATTATGTTCAATTAAAAATCTGGTTTTAACTTTTTCCTCGTGTTTCCGAAAACTTCCGAAAGTTTTTGAGCGACAGGATTTGGTATCTTTTGGCGCCAAACGCTGTGAATTAATTATTTATATCAATGGAAAGGTATATGTTGTAAACTCACTGAACAAATATTTAATTTTAAACAGTATAATAGCCTGTGGTTTTTTAGCTAGCAATTACCTTTGTTAATTGTGCTATTTTGTGCCTTTAAAATTGATTAAATCCTTTGTATTGCTACAAAAGCACTGCAAAGGTCTGCAAACCGCCTAATGAAATTTCAAGGAATTTTCAAGGAAATAACGTATACAATCTAAGGAATTTAGAGAAATTTTGATGACAAAAATGAGAAATTTTGATTTTGAAAATGGAAGCACTGGATTGATTGATGAAATTTCTTGCAAATATACTTCATTTTTGCTCGTATTTCTGCAAGATTTTGTAAATTTCAAGAAAGAAAGGGCGAAAGAATCAGCTAAAAGAAGGGAGCCGACGTTAACGAAGGTAAGTTTGTTTTAAATATTGATTTTATAATGGCTTTAAAACCCGACGGCCTTTGCGTATATGAAACAACTAAACAAGACAGCATATAATTTCAGTATATCTTTAATATTGATTCCCTTTTTTATTATATTGAATTTTTTAAATAAAAAAATAAAGCAAAGTTATTTGCAAGCGAGAATTTGAAATCATTTTATTGCAAACTCAAAGTTTATCGATAAAGCCATTTAATAGTTAAAGGCAGTTTAGTTTTATAAAGAACACTTTAAAACGTTTTGTGAATTGTTTGTGGTTGAATTTTACCTTAAATTGAAGCTTGTATTACGTATAATTACATACCTAACATATATATGTTGGGAAATTGATAATTTTGTAATTAAAAGTGATATTTTTAGGCAATTTTCATTTGTAAGAATATTCTTAAAAAATTATCGTGTTACCATGACAACTACTCTAGATACTTCCTGTTCGGAAAATACAACGGTTTTGTCAGCAAGGCGAGGGTTTCTGCATGCATGTATTTTCTAGTAGTATATTAAATCGACAAATTTAAGTATGTCACAATGTTTGAAAAGAGGGGTTGAGTGTGCCCTAAAACTGGAGAAAGTCATAATTCTGACTGCCTTTTCCTGTAGCCTTATTAAAGTATCAAGATTAGATTGATATGTATTAACCCACACTGGTAGGCGTACGTCAAATATAGATAAATGAGGGTATAGTATAATTGTTTAAGTATATGTAAATCCACGAAATTGCGAATTTTTGAGATTACACCAATGCAGCGTTTAATTTTGTTTGATATATGAGTAATGTGACTTTTCCAACGTAAGTTTGAGTCAAGGAAAATTCCTGAGTATTTGATATAGTTTTCTAGCTTAATTTGACAATTATTGATAAATAAAGCAATCACGTGATTTGGAGTTCGCTGAGTGTGATAATACAAAACAAAGTGTGTTTAGTCAATATTTAATGACAGTTTGTAGCTGCCAACCAGTCAAAAATTTTCTCCAAATTTCTATTAATAGTTATTTCTAGATTAACAAGATTTACATTAGCATGAAAAAGATTAGTGTCATCTGCAAATATGTTAAATTCAAAAATGTCACTGCAGTTAAGGAAGTCATTAATATATAAGAGGAATAAAAGGGGACCCAATACTGAACCTTGTGGAACACCATATTTAATTGGAGTTTCATCGGATTTGATATGCCCGATTGAAACAAATTGGCGTCTGTTACTTAAATATGAGGAAAACCAATCGTAAGCCAAAGTTAACCTCTTATTCCATAATGATCAAGCTTGTTGAGAACGATGTCATGGTTTACAGTGTTAAATGCTTTGGAAAAATCTAAAAATATTCCACAGGAATACCATCCCTTCTCAATTGCTTGTTGAATGTTATCGGTTATTGAAAGAGCTGCTTGTAACGTTGAATGCTTAGAACGAAAACCAAACTGTTAGTTATATAAAATTTCATATTTTTCAATAAATCTAGTTAGTCTTGTATACATATTTTTCCAAAATATTACTAAAAATGAAGAGAAGTGAGATTGGGCGATAATTTGTTAACATAGTCAGTGGGCCTTTTTTGTGAATTGGAATCACGTTCGCTCTTATGAATTGGTCTGGAACCGTGCCAGTCAGGAAGGAAAGATTAAATATTATTTCAAGAGGAGTAGAGAGGCTAGATTTAGCTGTTTTTAGTAAATTAATTGCAATACTAAAAGGGCCTGTTGCTTTGGAAGATTTAAGTTTTCCAATTTCATACTCAATTTCACTTTTTAGAACAGGAGACATAAAGAAGTTGTTTGGCACAGGACTGCCCATAAAAGCTTCTGTCCTTGTATTAGTGCATGGAACAGAGTCTGCAATGTTCTTTCCAATATTAGAAAAGTATTCATTGAATGCCAAGGATATATTCTTAGGCCTACTCTGGGACCTTATCTCGCCTTAACTCGCCTTATCTCGCCCTATCTCGCAATAGAAATTGATCAAATTTTGCTTAACTCGCCCAATCTCGCCTTATCTCGCAATGAGAAGTTGACTGAATTTTGCTTAACTCGCCTAAACTCGCCCTATTTTGCAATAAAAACCGGCACAGTTTCACGTCAGTAAAACACAAATACTGTCAATCAAAATTCTTTAGACTCACAATACTCACTTATATATTCTATGAGTTTGGCATTGCAACTGACATCAACATACAAGTGTGTAAGCCTGATTATATCTGAAATGTTATCATATTTTAATTTACTACCTTCTCTGTAATGCCATAAAGCTGTATTAATCAAATAATTCCACCAACTACTCTACTTTAATACAGTATAAAGCAGGCCTTAGCAGGCATACTGTATACAGTAATACCCAGTATTTAATAAATCACAGTGAAAATAATTGAACATAATAACAGAACCCAAACTGCCAAGTATGGTTGAAAATTAATATTCCCATATATACTAATATACAGATCACTTATCTATTCTATTTCAACTATACAATGATATCAAAACATCAAAAGTACTTGCTTAGCTTTTATGCAGCTATCACATGACTATCAAATTTTACTAAAATACTGTTATACTTATAGTATAAAGGTCTCTGTGATATCAACAGCTCAAACTGCAAAGTTATTCGTTGAACTGTTTTTATATGCAACCGGCAACAGAGCTACTGAACCAACGATACGGGCAGAATTTTAGGAGAAATATTTTAATACACAATCACATTCACAAAATTCGTGAAAATATAGATTTACAGTAAAAGCAAAGTTAAAGGTGAATATTGTAGTAAACATACCGTGCTTGCCTGTCTGTGACCAACATTAAATTTAGTAGAAACAATCTGTAGTGACAAGTCTTTTTGAATCTCATTTTAATATCATAATAAACTTTAAAATGTCGATGCATATCCCGCCATATTGCGTTTGCGGAGTCCAATGATTCTGACTTATAGACTGCGTAGACCCCCCCCCCCCCGACCGCAGAGGAATTACGCGATGATGGGGAAGGAAGATTCTGTCTATCAGGGGGGCGAGATGCTGTCTGGGAACAGATATTGAAAATATTGCTCCCTTCAGCGGAAAAATTACAATCTGCTTGCAATACTTAGTGTTAGCACAGAATAGGAAGTTATACCAGAAGCGTAACTCGAGCAAATATTTGTCCGCGTTTTTACAAGCGATTCGTCATCAATCACGCCATCCTGGCTAGTACATCCGGCACTTTGTACCTACCAAATCCTGATAAAAACTTCCGGCTGTACTAGCCAGGATGGCGTGGCCTGACGTGAGCGAGTTAAAATTTTCGTGGACGTCAAACAATAAGGGAAACGACTAGAGTTACGCTTCTGGTATAACTTCGTATTCTGTGGTGTTAGTGTTAATGAGAGGCAGTGAATTCTGAATATAAAAGCTTGATAGGAAATAGGAATATATATTATTAAACAATAATACAGTTTTATACAGAGGAATCATTGTCATTTACGTTCATTTACGTTTCCAAAGCAAGTAAGTTGGGCATTAATTTTAGTATTATGACCGTTGGTTATCATTTAATACATCATTGTGGTTCGAAATTTCGTTAATTAAAATAGTTATTAAAGTGCTAAATTTAATAGTAAATAATCTATAATTTCCTAGCAAGCTTTTTAGTTTCTCTTTGTTTCATATCATTGTTTATATTAAATTAAATTAAAAATTGAATACAAGGACTGCTGCTTGCAAACAAATTCGAACCTGATTGATAATGTCATGATTCATGAAAACAGCTAAAAATTACAAAATATGTGGTGAAGTTAGTCATAGCAAGTTAGCAACTGATACTGTGAAGATTTAGGAAACAATGCAGTTCTATACACACTATGCATAATGCCTCAAATTATACAATTTGGCATCTGGCTACCAGCCTCGTTTTGATGCAACTTGTTTCCAGGTCCCGAGTTATTGTGCATATCATGTATGTATTGTAGAATATAGAATAAAACACTTTTCTAGGCCTGCTACTTCAAGTACTGCATACTTGCTTTGCATAATGCACAAACAAAGCAAAATACATAGTGTGTATACAATATCCAGATTTTTCCTTAACTCGCCTTATCTCGCCTTAACTCGCAAGGGTCAGTAGCCAGATTTTTCCTTAACTCGCCTTAACTTGCATAGGCTCGCCTTATCTCGCGGCGAGTTAAGGTTCCAGAGCAGGCCTTATTCTTAGTATCTTTTATCTCCTGGCCATCCTTTATAATTTTTGTAGGTAAGCTATGTCCCCTAGGTTTCAAAGTAGTAAGTTGTTTAATTCCCTTCCAAGTATTCTTGATATACTTATATATTTGCTATGTTGAGATCTTTCGGCAAACCAAAGGCAAATGTCGCAAAGGGCATTTGGTCGCAAAGGGCATTTGGACACAAGCCAAATACTACAATGGACATTGAATTTCCATTTTATTCATTCTAAAACTTTTTATAGACATTATATATATGCGACTGATGTTATTGAAAAATATTGATAGTTTATATTAAACACTGGGTATTGTATGAAGGAGTGTAAATAAAGGTACAAAAATTGCTAGAGAATCTGCAGTACAGAATTATAAGACAACTGTGTGCTTTTCCTTTTTTGTCTGCATGAGTATGTTGTCGAACACTTGAAGGCAAAATATTATTTACCCCGCCTTTTATATCATGCTATCTGCATAATAACAGATAAGGTTAGCAAAGTATTTTTTATTATGCGTGACGTGCATGGTATAACGTGTTTCTACGTTTTATCAGGGATATATACATAATTCATAAACTCTGCATACCCACAAAGTCTCGCACAGACATGACATTTACTTTTAATAATTCATGAGATTTTATAAGCATTTTAAAGTTTCTATTGATATATTGATAGGTCGTTTTGTCTCTAGTGCGGCATAGTTGGATGCTAAAATAAATGTAAAAGCTTTAAGGCGCTTGATGTCCCACAACACACCCTCGTATAATTATCCCTCGAGCTGTTTTACAGACATCACGTCATTACAAATATCAAGACGCAGAGAGTTTGTTCCTATCCAAGTTGTCCAACCCAATACGAGGAACTTAAGTAATCTGATTTTAATCACACCAAAAAAGCCTGAGAATCACAATTTAAATTGCACGGATCGCCCGATTTAAACGGACAGTATATCAGTTAACACCGACCTTACAAAGGTTATCCATCTGAACATACGCTCACTTCGGAATATTGTCCACCTTATCCAACTTCGAAAACTAGGGCGTTCAGCGAAGTTTGACATCACTACCATTTCCGAAAGTGGCTTAACACGTGCGTGACATCAACCGAGGTAAACATGGACGGGTATAAACTTATTAGACTTGATCGTCTACACAAGCGAGAAGGAGGAGACTGCGCGTATATTCGCAAAGATTTCAAAACTGTAGTCTTGAAAGATCTATCTTACATATCGGGACGCAACTTTCACCAGTTGTGGATTAGTGTACAGTGTAAAAAGACCAAATCAGTCGTAATTTGTGTAACGTACCGTCCGGATGATTCCCCACTAAGCTCGTTTGATAATGTTCTCAAGCCAAGTTACATCCAAGCACTAACGTTGAATACAGGGTAATTGCCTATTGTAATACTCGGAGATTTAAACTGTGATGTGTTAAAACAGAATTGTCCAAAATCCAAAGCATTGATCAACTTTGCTAAAGAAATGAACCTCAGCCAACTTATAAACTAAGTCTCCTACACGAATCACCAATACCACTGATTCAGAATCCTTATTAGACGTTGTATAGGTCTCCTCGAACTCGCTAGTACGTCGTAGCGGTGTTTTAAATACAACAATAGGTGACCACCTTCCAGTCTATGTCGATTTCAAGCTGAAATCTCGCAAACATCCTCCCCATTACATAACCGTTCGTAGTTACAAGAACTATTCGCCAAAGTTTATTCATAACTGACCTCGCCAGAAGTTCACACAACAGCTTATTATCTATTTTCAATCACGGTGACGTAAATACTATGTTAGACACATTCAACCAAACCATCCAATCTACTCTAGACTCGCATGCTCGAATAAAGACAGTAAAAGTACGCAGCCGTCCTTGTCCGTTTGTAACTCAGCCTCAGGACATAAAGGACCTCACGAAGACCAGAGACCAGCTACACGGCCGATACTTACAAACTCGGGACAACCTTGGAATAACTTTAAGGATGCTCGAAAAGCTTTAAGAGAATGTTAAAAGATTCTGAAAGAAATTACTATTTGGATGAAGTTCAGCGACATAAAAACAACCCATGCAGGCTCTCTTTGGAAAATTACCAATCAAGCCATACCGTCAAAAAGTTGAAAACAAATACTTACACCAAAGACCCAAAGACAGTCGCTGATGAATTCAATCAATTTTTCTCGTCTGTAGGCAAAAATACAGCAGATGTGTCAATTCGTCTGGCAGAAGAAAATAAGATTACTGTAGAGGAAACACCTTTAGAGACCTTTATATGCTTTTCCAAGATCTCTTTTCTTTCCGAACAGTAACCAGCGAAGAAGTACGCCGTGTCATTGCATCCCTGCCATTGAACAAATCCCCTGGACCAGACAAGATAAACTCTCGAATCCTCAAAGACTGTCTCCCTGTTATACTAGGATCCCTAACATACATAATTAACTGCTCTATAACCTTTCATACATTCCATACTGCATGGAAGGAAGCGGAAATGATTCCCATGGTGAAAGACGGAGACCACGAAATAGCGTCAAACAACCGCCCGATATCTCTTCTTGCCATATAGCTTCTAAGCTTTGTGAAAAAATTGTTCTCGAACAATTCAGGAGCCACCGTATAAGCAAAAACCTGCTCTCCCCTCATCAAAGCGGAAATAAAAAACACCATTCCACAGAGACCCTGAACATTTTTGGTACCGACACGATGCTAGAGGCAATGGGCAAAAAGGAATTAGTATTATTATATATCTCGAAAGCCGTCGACAGTATTAACCATCACAGATTGTTACACAATCTAGTGAATGTCGGTGCTTCCCCAGCAACAGTACAGTGGTTTAAAAACTACTTGTCGGATCGCTTTCTGTCCACCGAATCAACTCCACCCTATCTGATCGACTACCAATTATTCACGGAGTACCCCAAGGTGCGACGCTTTCACCATTATTATTTTGTATTTACTTGAACGATCTTCCCTCCGTATCTCGTGACTCCAACCTTGAATCGTACGTTGATGACTCGAAAGTTCCCCTCTCCTTGCCATTACGTCAGATAGATGCAGAAATTACAAATCTCGAGCAAGACCTACACAGAGTTGCAAGTTGGTGCTGTGAAAACCACCTTTTAATTAACCCGGGGAAAACAAAATGCATGATGATCGGAACAAGGCAGCTGATGAGCAAAGTACCTACAGGCACATCAGTTTCATTCTTGGGCCAGTCTCTTAAACCAGTTGACTCTACTGAAGATTTAGGTGTCACATTAGATGGACACCTAAATTACGACAAACATGTCTCGCTTCTTGTCTCGTCGAGTATGAACAAATTATGCCAGATAAATCATGCAAAAAATAGTTTCGACACAAAAACTTTATCGGAAGTCATTTCATCCTTAGTCATTAGCAAAATGGTTTATTGTTCTTCGGTGTGGTCGAATACGTCTGCCTCCAACGTGAAGAAAGTTCAGTCGATCCAGAACTTTGCTTGCAAAATCGTCACGAAATCCAGGAAGTATGACCACGTAACTCCACTTCTACGTGAATTGAATTGGCTCCCAGTAGACAAACTACTATATTTTAAAGACGCAAGTTTGACCTATAAATGTGTGAATAACCTAGCACCCGACTACCTTTGTCAAAAATTGATAAAAAGGTCATCAACCCACGACCGTAGGACTCGTACACACGACTCTCTTCAAATACCTCTATTTAAGACTGCAGCTGGCCAACGATCATTTACATATAGGGCCGTCCATATTTGAAACAATATAGACACGAACTTGAAAGACTGCTGTTCTCCTAAAATTTTGAAGGTAGCACTTAAAAAAAATGTGCTTGTAAAAGATAACATCTAGTATAGCCTAAGACATTTTGTATATAGTCTTTGATAATTTTTTAAAAATATATTTGTACTAACCTTAATTATTACTGCATGCATGTAACTACTGTAAATAATCTCGGAAAACCCTTTTAGGGAGAGGTCATATTCTAAACATAAAGTAACAAAAAAACACACAATAACTGTTCTTGGTATCAGTGTTCAAGTTTCTGCTTCATGAAACGTGGCCGGGGACGTTTTGACATACAAAAGTCGGCTTTCGCGACTGAGTACATTTAATATTCTCGACCTGTCCCTATTTAACAACATATTGCACCGGCGCAATATGATTTTGCAGATTAATATCTTCGGTTAGGCGAATGCTATGAAAACAAAATTACTACCGTTCGGTTCATTGAAAGAATAGCTCCTAATTCCTAACGATAGTTTTAGTCAAATGTCAACATTATAGCGACTTTGAAAGGTGAAGCAATATCATATATTTCACTATATTACTCAATTTTCTCGAACAATGTAAACTAGCCATACCTTTCGCCGAACATATATACTTCGGCCCCTTCGGACATAATCTTTCGAACATATCCTTTGCGGACATATCCTTTTTTTACCTTTTTCTTTTTATTATCCCTCCCTCATATCCTGTGGCTGTATTTTGATTGCGCAAGAAATAAAATAATCGTGAACCGCTCGAAAATGTCGTGTCATATTGCTGACAGCCGCATTCTTCTAACGTAACTGAGTGAGCGACGGCCTTAGATAATTTCAGAAGACGTCCTTGAAATAACACTAGCTTTATAAATAGTGTTTTGGATGGCAATTCAAACAAGACTAACATTAATCCGATGTCATAGATACACGTCCTGTGATTGGCCAAATACCTCATTAAGTTACTATTTTTAGTAATGTTCGAACCGCGTACCGCGGAACACCGCAGGCGCATTTAAAAACATTTTTCCGATCGGGTTACGGCACCTCAGGTTATGCCTTCGGAAAGCTCTGGGCTCGTCTTCGTCGAAAATAATTCAATGTTACTTTTAGAGCTGTAAATTTTAAAATTAACGAAAGAATTTGCCCTCGTTCGTCTTAGTAAACTTGCAAGGAACATTGCAATATTGTCCCAGAATATTGCAATTTTGATAGGGAGATTGATCTGAGCAATTTGCAACCGATGTGAACAAATTGCAAGTTGAAATTCACAAAAGATTTGTAAACGAAACCTCTGATTGGACTACAAGAAAGAGGGAAGCATCAATCCATTTGCTCATGAGAATATTTGTTTAGCTTCCTTTTTGCCAATAGTCCAGTCAGAGACTTTGTTTACAAGTCTTTTGTGAATTGTAACTTGCAATTTGTTCGCGTCGGTTGCAAATTGCTTAGAGCAATCTGCCTATAAAAATTGCAATATTGTGGGACAATATTGCAATGTTGCTTTCATGCAAGAGAATAACAGGTTTGACTGTAATGGTGAATTTTTCCCCAAAACTATTTTATTGTCCACAATCGAAAAAATCTGACCGTATCTTGAGCTACACTCGATACCCCATGGATCCGCCCCTGGCTTCCTTGCCGCAATTCACGAACAAAAATTTTCTCTGCGTTGCGAAGGATTGTTTCGGACTGCCTTCGATAGAGCCGATAGGGATTATTGCTGTGTTTTGGGTCAGCAACAAAATTACAAAGCCTACATATGGCAATAACGCGAAATATTGGCCGTCGATTCTTTTTATGTAGAATTTCTTTGGCGTCTCCTTGCTAAGCCATCGACTCAAATGAATGAATAGACTTTCGAAATTTGAGCTTAATTCCATGCTCAAAACTGTAATTTAATACCTTATCTTAATAAATTATCTGTTCCAAACCAGAATGTAATCAATTTCAATGTTTTCTTGTTGTTTTTAATTGATTTATTTCACGTTTTAATAGTCCCAACCAAAATCACAATATTGTTAAGAAAAATTTCAATAAATCTCAGTGCGCTCCTCTGTCACCCCTCCCTTAGAGTATTATCTTAATTTCTCCTTCACCCCCGATTTTTGGGGAAAATGAAGAGTCACGTGATAAGCGGTTACCAGGGTTTTTCCTCGCCTCAAGCGTGATAAAAACCCTAGCTTGCGATGTTGGGTATAGGTCCGGAGTGAGTATCACCACCTTAAATTTCACAAACAATGCTCACACTCACGAGTGGCATTATACTCAGAAACCAGAAATGGAAGCATACAGAAACAAGTTGGCTTAGACTGCGTGAGGACACGCAGGATACACCTCGCCTTAGTAGCAAACCACTATATTT